TGCAAAGGCCTTTAAAAGGTCCCTCAGTCTTGTTTTGAAGGCACCACAATCATGGGGAAGACTTCTGACTTAACAGCTGTCCAAAAGACAATCATTGACACCTTGCACAAGGAGGGCAAGACACAAAAGGTGATTGCTAAAGAAGCTGGCTGTTCGCAGAGCTCTGTGTCCAAGCACATTAACAGACAGGCGAAGGGACGGAAAAAATGTGGTAGAAAAAAGTGTACAAGCTCTAGGGATAACCGCACCCTGCAGAGAATTGTGACGACAAACCCATTCAAAAATGTGGGGGAGATCCACAAAGAGTGGACTGCAGCTGGAGTCAGCGCTTCAAGAACCACCACGAGGAGACTCATGAAAGACATGGGATTCAGGTGTCGCATTCCGTGTGTCAAGCCACTCTTGAACAAGAAACAGCGCAAGAAGCGTCTCGCCTGGGCCAAGGACAAAAAGGACTGGACTGATGCTGAGTGGTCCAAAGTTATGTTTTCTGATGAAAGCAAGTTCTGCATTTCCTTTGGAAATCAAGGACCCAGAGTCTGGAGGAAGAGCGGAGAAGCACAGAATCCACGTTGCATGAGGTCCAGTGTAAAGTTTCCACCGTCAGTGATGGTGTGGGGTGCCATGTCATCTGCCGGTGTTGGCCCACTCTGTTTCCTGAGGTCCAGGGTCAATGCAGCCGTCTACCAGGAAGTTTTAGAGCACTTCATGCTTCCTGCTGCTGACCAACTTTATGGGGATGCAGACTTCACCTTTCAACAGGACTTGGCACCTGCACACAGTGCCAAAACCACCAGCACCTGGTTCAAGGACCATGGTATCCCTGTCCTTGATTGGCCCGCAAACTCGCCTGACCTTAACCCCATAGAAAATCTATGGGGTATTGTGAAGCGGAGGATGCAATACGCTAGACCCAACAATGCAGAGGAGCTGAAGACGACTATCAGAGCAACCTGGGCTCTCATAACACCTGAGCAGTGCCACAGACTGATCGAGTCCATGCCACGCCGCATTACTGCAGTTATTGAGGCAAAAGGAGCCCCGACTAAGTATTGAGTGCTATACATGCACATTCTTTTCATGTTCATTCTTTTCAGTTGGCCAACATTAGAGAAACAAACATTTTTTCATTGGCCTTTAGAATATTCTAATTTTCTGAGATACCAGATTTGATGTTTTCATTGGTTGTCACCTATAAATATCAAAATTAAACGTAATAAACATTGGAAATACATTGGTCTGTGTGCATTGCATGAATATAATGTACAAGTTTCACGTTTTGAATGGAATTACTGAAATATTTTCAACCTTTTGATGATATTCTAATTTACTGGCCAGCACCTGTATACCACCACACCCCTGTATTGTGATAAATATCAAAATGCCAGATTTTTTGCCAACACAAACTTCATGAAATATGTCTAGCTTAAAGCTACTTTAGCAAATCTACAGAACTGGCTAGGTTTTGAACGCGCACACGGTCATGGAAACAAAGGAGCGCTTAACACCAGTTGGTGTTTTCTTGGTCCAAACGTCTCTTGATGTCCGTGACTTACAATGGTGTTTTTCTTTTTGAAACTCTGGTTTGTCCTAAGTTGAAGTGGTAGCAGCCGACTGTTTCTCTTTCTCTGATTTTATTGAGCATGCCCAAACCACCTCCACTAGCTCCACTTGATGTGAATGAGTAGTGAGTCTACTCCAAGCCCCTCCCGGATGACCAAGATTCTCACCCTATCTCTAATGAAGAGCCCAGCCACCCTGCGGAGAAAACTCATTTTGGTTGCTTGTGTCCGCGATCTCATTCTTTCGGTCACCACCAAAGCTCGTGACCATAGGTGAGGGTTGGAACATAGATCGGCCAGTACATTGTGAGCTTTACCTTCTGGCTCAGCTCTCTCTTCACCACAACAGATCGGTATAACGCCTGCATCACTGCAGATGCAGCACCAATCCGCCTATCAATCTCACGCTACATCTTTCCCTCACTCATGAACAATACCCTGAGATACTTAAACTCCTCCACATAAGGCATGACCTCATCCCTGACCTGAAGAAGACATTCTACCCTTTTCCAACTCGAGACCATGGTTTCGGATTTAGAGGAGCGGTTTCTCATCCCAGCTGATTCACACTCACTTGTGAAACGCTCCAATGAGAACCAGAGATCCCATTGTGATGAAACCAACAGAACCACATTATCTACAAAAAGCAGAGACTTAGACCACCAAAACAGATCCCTAAACACCTTGGCTGCACCTAGAAATCCTGTCCATAAAAGTTATGAACAGAATCGGTGATAAAGGGCAGCCTTGGCGAAGTCCAACTCTCACCGGAAAAAAGCCCGACTTACTGCTGGCAATGCGGACCAAGTGCTGGTACAGCCCATATCAAAGGGTTTTGGTACCCCATATTCCCTAAGTACAGCTCCCCAAAGGGCCTCTCAAGGGACGCGGTTGAACGCCTTATCCAAATCCAACAAAACACATGTAGGATCATTGGGACATTCAAACCCCTCCTCCATGATAAGGTGGCAGCCCAGCTAGGGAGGGGATTTGTTATAAGCTAATTTGTTTTCCAAATTATAATCATTATAGCTTTAAAGCTTCTACCAGATTACCCATTTATGATAAAAGTCCAAACTAATAAAACTCACAACCAGTGAAACCATTTTAAAATGCACATGACGATGAACCAGTGCTATAATATTGGATCATCTCATCTGTGGGCTCACACAGGCGGCATTAACATTTTTTTAATAATCATCATTAACAAAACAGATTTTGAACATGGGTTAGGGTTGGGAGAAATAGATTATGTCCTCCTGCCGTGGTCATTTTAGCTTTGATGTCATCACACTAAGTTTATAGGGGAGTCAAAGCTGTTAAGCTGCACAGGGCTCTGGTTGATGTAGCTTAGTTAAACACATAACCAGACTGCAGCAGCAACATTGTTCTTGGCTTTTATCCAGAAATGTTCCCCTTATTTTTTGGTTTTCTTTTCTCTGCAAAGATGAGACAAAACCAAGGTCACGGAGAGGCAGATAAAAGCCCCACATAAAGATAAAACCTAACTCAGAAACTGGAAACAAAGCAAAAGGTCAGCGCTTTATGAGCATTCAAGATATGCAGTCAAGGAGAAAATACACTCAACAAAAATGTAAATGCAACACCTTTGTTTCTGCTCCGATTTTTCTTGAGATGGACTTAAAGATCTAAAATTCAGTCCAGATACACAATATTACCATTTTTCTCAAACATTTCACAAATCAGTCTAAATTTGTGATAGTTAGCACTTCTGCTTTGCTGAGATAATCCATCCCACCTCACAGGTGTGCCACATCAAGATGCTGATCTGACATGAGTGGTGCAAATGTGTACTATTGGGCCATTCCCATCTGTACCGGGTCGGCCCGGGCCGGGTAGCCCCAGTCAGCCCCAGCCTGGCCCGGTTGATTCCACACATCCTTGTATTAAGCACATGTGGGCTGATTCTACCCACCAATCAGAGGCTTGCTCTAATGGAAGGTGTGAATTTGCTGTCAGCAGTGGGTGTGTTGGCCCTGGTCGGCCTGAAGCAGACCCCCTTGAGAAGAGGGCTGAGAATGAGCCTTGGTTGGCCCAGAAAAATACCAGGCCACCCAGATATGTAAACAACCTACGCTACCCGGCCCGGGCCGACCCGGCACAGATGGGAATGGCCCATTACACTGCCCACAATAAAAGGCCACCCTGGAATGTACAGTTTTGTCTAAGCAAAATGCCACAGATGCCACAAGCATTGATGAAGCGTGCAATTGGCGTGCTGACAGCAGGAATGTCAACCAGATCTGTTGCTCGTGCATTGAATGTTCATTTCTCCACCATAAGCCGCCTCCAAAGGCGTTTCAGAGAATATGGCAGTACATCCAACCGGCCTCACAACCGCAGACGACGTGTAACCACACCAGCCCAGGACCTCCACATCCAGCAGGTTTACCTCCAAGATCGGCTGAGACCAGCCACTCAGACAGCTGCTGAAACAATTGGTTTGCATAACCGAACAATTTCTGCACAAACTGTCAGAAACCGTCTCAGGGAAGCTCAACTGCATGCTCGTCGTCCTCATCGGGGTCTTGACCTGACTCCAGCTTGTCGCCGTAACAGATTTGAGTGGGCAAATGCTCACATTCGACGGCGTCTGGCACGTTGGAGAGGTGTTCTCTTCACAGATGAATCTCTGTCTACATTGTTTAAGGCAGATGACAGACAGCGTGTGTGGCATCGTGTGGGTGAGCGCTTTGCTGATGTCAATGTTGTGGATCGAGTGGCCCATGGTGGTGGTGGGGTTATGATATGGGCAGGCATCTGTTATGGACTAAGAACACAGGTGCATTTTATTGATAGCATTTTGAATGCACAGAAATACCGTGATGAGATCCTGAGGCCGATTGTTGTGCCGTACATCCATGAACATCACCTCAGGTTTTAGCAAGATGATGCACAGCCCCATGTTGCAAGGATCTGTACACAATTCTTGGAAGCTGAAAATGTCCCAGTTCTTGCATGGCCAGCATACTCACCGGACATGTCACCTGTTGAGCATGTTTGGGATGTGCTTGACCAGCGTATATGACAGTGTGTACCAGTACCCACCAATATTCAACAACTTCACACAGCCATTGGACCAACATTCCACAGGCCACAAATGGCAATCTGATAAACTCTTTGCGAAGAAGATGTGTTGCACTGCATGAGGCAAATGGTGGTCACACCAGATAGTGACCGGTACTGAGTCCCCAGACCCCCAATAAAGCAAAAAACTGCACATTCCAGCGTGGCCTTTTATTGTGGCCAGTCTAAGGTACACCTGTGCACTACTTGTGATGTCAGATCAGCATCTTGATGTGGCACACCTGTGAGGTGGGATGGATTATCTCAGCAAAGCACAGGTGCTCACTATCACACATTTAGACTGATATGTGAATAATGTTTGAGAGAAATGGTAATATTGTGTATCTGGAATGAATTTTAGATCTTTAAGTCCATCTCATGAAAAATCGGAGCAGAAACAAAGGTGCTGCGTTTATATTTTTGTTGAGTGTAAAAGACTGCTGTGAATTTAGAGAGAATGACAGGTTTATGTTTGATCGACGTGCTGTCTTATGGTGAGTTACAGGTGAGCTTCTGAGGTTGAACAACATTGAAAGAAAGCTGAACCTCAGTGGCACCCTGACCTCAGCTGACTTTAGACATGATGTGCCTGGATTCAACCAGCCGTTATGTGGTCAAACCCATGTGACTGTTCATCTTTCACTCCCAATTATAATCTAGTTCACATCTACCCCCACATTCTGACACATCCTCACAGTCACAATCCTGACCTTGTCTGAGCAAATTAATCTAAAATATTTGTTTCCAGTGCATATGATTCAGTGTGTATGCATACATGTAATGCAGTCTTTAAATGGCCTTCGGTTAACAAATGTCTTGCCAAATTTCTACATCCCAGATTCACCAGAGACATTATCCAGGTCTACAGGCATTTTTTGTTAGTTCAGTTTTACCCAAGGCTGCTGAAACAAAAATCCAACACCTCCTTGACATTACACAGTTGGGAGAAAGTGAGAAACATAAAGGCCGTGCCAAGTCTGTCAGCGTTTATATGCATCACACATAGCCCTCTAACTTTCCCTTTAATCCGCATTTTACATTACAAAGCCTAAGCTACAATAACTGCTGTATTTCTTTGTAACTGTATTTATTATTTTTTCCGTTTCCTTCTCCAGCGAAAAAAGAGCAGGATGGTGGAGACGAGAAGAAGCTAGTGCAGAAAAAGAAGGTGAAGGAGCTGAAGGTTCTTGATGCCAAGTCCTCACAGAACCTCTGTAAGTCTGTTTGTTAACGTTCACACCAGTCTGTGCTTTTTGGATGAATTTACTAAAGTTATTCAGTAGTAATAATTATTTGTTTGGGTTTTCTTTACAAAGCCATTTTCCTGGGATCGTTTCGTCTTCCGTACGAAGAGATCAAAAATGCTATTCTGCAAGTAAACGAGAAGATTCTGACTGAGTCCATGGTTCAGGTACTAAGTTCAGATCTCCCTTCATGTTTTTATTAAAGCCTCTTGTTGTGTATTCATTTATAAATGCTACCACAGATTGTAGCTTACTGGTTTGTTTTGTTGCAGAGTAAAATCAGTTAAGTTTTTTAGTTTTTGTAAATGACATTTTTAAAAGAGAAAATCTTAAAATGACTGTAGATTTTTATCACAATTAAAGCTTTTACACACTTTATTTTAGAAACACCCTCTCCATTTAATCTAACCACCTGTTTCTCAAGCTGTGCATTAGGACTAATGTAAATAATTTTGATCTGATGTTTGTCTCCCACAGAACCTGGTCAAACAGCTGCCACAAACAGAACAGCTGAGCATTCTGGCAGACATGAAGGATGAATACGATGATTTGGCTGAGTCAGAACAATTTAGCATAGTGGTAAGAAACATACAGACACAAACTAAACAAAAATAACGATTTTGTTTAGGAAAGAGATGGACACTGCTGTGATTTTTTTTTTTTTTTACCAGCAGACCATAATGCTGGTCCACAAAAATAAACAATCAATGATGAACAAGAGTCTGCTTCTAGACCTGCAGAAAAGGGACACACAACAATACAACAGGAGCAAGCTATCACTGTGTCAACTTGATGAAGAAATGTAAAATCAACATTGTTTTACTGAACAATTGCACGATAATAAATCACAGTGCATTTAGTGCCAACCACAGCCTTAAGACATATGTTGAACGTGCCCAAGTCCATACTTATGAGAGAACCATGGGAGTACCAGTGTGCGTACACGCGCTTGTATATGTAAGGTTTCTCTATAGGAGCGTCCAATAGAGAGTGTGAGGGGCCACAGATCTGCCCCCCAAAGATGCATAGGAGATGGAGGGAGGTCCAAGTCCCAGAGATCCAGGAGCTGCCCCAGAGCACAGGGACCCCAAGGAGACCGTGACCAGAAAAGGCCCCGCCCCCCTCGAGAGGCGCAGAGAAAAAACATCAAATTTTAACAATACAGGAGTTCAACCAAAATTAGCAAATAGCACATGCACACACACGTGTATGTTTACACGTACACAAACATACGCACCAGCAGCCACACGAATACAATGGGAAAGACATACCAAACATTATGCATTAATATTACAGTGATCCAGTCAACATTAGGGAATGGAAGTTTTTGTCTTGACCTATATCATAGGCCTATCCTAACTTCGGAAGCAGGGACAGGGGCCGAATGTGCCTGCTTCCTGTTTCTTTACTAGCCGCTTAAATTGACCAAAAGAGACCGGGGTTTCTAGTTTTAAGTGGTTCTGTAGCTGGTTCCAGGCTGATAGAGCAGAGATCCTAAATACTCGCTTACCTAATTATGTACGAGCTCTAGGCACAGCCAGCTGGAGATTAGCATTGGACCGAAGTGAGCAAGTGCTGGTTTCGAAAGACAGAAGCCTACATAAATAAGGAGGCAACATCCTAATGATGGCTTTATATATAAATAGTCGCCACCTGGTTAGCCTTCACTGAGCTAATGAGGGCCACTGGACTAGATTGTGCAAAGTGCAACAATGTGTACAACCTTTGCACCCTGTAATAAATCTCAGTGCTCCATGATACAACTGAATCTATTTGAAGCAGATATTTCTTAGGATCATGCATATATAAAACATCACCATAGTCCATGAGGGACAGAAAAGTGGCCTCAACCAGCTTCTTCCTTGCTGCAAGAGAATAAACAAGCCCCATTCCTAAAATAGAACCCTAGTTTTAACCTAAGTTTCCTGACTAAACTTTGGATGTAAATCTTAAAGGTCAGATGTTCATCAAGTACAAACCCCAAGTACCTGTACTCAGCCACACACTATTAGAGTAATCTTGTTTGGGGGATAGCTGTAGAGTTCCTATTATTTGAGAAGAGGACCAGTTTAGTTTTACTTGCATTCAACACAAGCTTCAAGTCAGATAGATGGGATTGTACGATATCAAAAGCATCCTGCAGGTGTTCAAAGATCTGATGAATAGTTTCTCCGCTACTGCAAATGATTGTGTCGTCAGCATAAAAATGGAATAAAGCATTGTGAACAGTCGAACAAAGGTCATTCACATAGATGGTAAATAAAAGTGGGCCCAATACCGAGCCCTGCGGAACCCCTGAAGCCACCTGTAAGAAGCTTGACGAGATACCATTAAAGCTGACACATTGGGTCTGATCTCAGAGATAATTTTCAAGCCAACCAACTGCCTTCTCAGAAAGACCAATGTTGAATAGCCTTTGTTTTAGAATACAATGATTCACTGTGTCAAATGCACAGAGAGAGGTCGATGAAAAGAGCTGCACACATCTTTTTGCTGTCCAATGCATCAATGAAATCATTTACAACCTTCAGTGAAGCAGAGATGGTACTATGATCCTTTCGAAAGCCAGACTGAAACTCTGATAGAATATTATTATCGCTCAGGAATTCCTTCAGTTGTTCGTTTACTAGCCATTCTAAGACTTTTGACAGGACAGACAAACTGGAGATAGGCCTATAGTTGTTTAGCAAGATTGGACCCCCCCAGCAAGGGAAGGACATAGGCAGATTTCCAGGCTAAATGTATGACATTCTGATCTAAGGACAAGTTCAAAATATACCTGAGCGGTTTAGCAATAAAATCTGCGGCCACTTTTAAAAAAATAAGGCTCTAAGAGGTCTGGACCAGCAGGCTTTTTGATGTCCAACGACACAAGAGCTTTATGTACTTCTTTAACTGAAAATGGAGTAAAGGTAAAAGGCTGACCAACATAGCATCTTTCAGCAGCATTACCATTAGAGGGGGAGGCTTCTGAAGGTTGAAAACAATCAAATAATGAACCAGATGCAGCAAAATGTTCATTAAAACCTAACATAGCTATTCTATCTGAGATAATAATATTATCCCTGATTATATGGAGAGGCAGTTCAATATGAGGTCCAATGGAGGAAATAGACTTGATAGTCTCCCAGAAAACCCTAGGGTTATTTAAAGCATCTATAGCAGCAGTCAGACAGTATTCAGATTTGGCATGTCGGACGGCTGCCGTGAACTTGTTTCATAGTTGTCTGAAATTGATTTTATCAGCCTCTACCTCTGATTTTCTAGCCTTTGCCCATCTCTTTCATGAAGAAGTTTGCTGAGCTCCGGAGAAAACCAAGGGTTGTCTCGGCCCTTGACTATAAACTTACGCAAGGGAGCATGTTTCTTAACAATTTGCAAAAATCCATCCTGAAAATATTTCCAGGCTATTTCAACATCAATAAGCCTTATGCAGTCCAAGTCAAAATGAAATAAATCATGTGTAAAGCGCTGTAGTGAGAAATGTTTAAATAATGGTTCCCAGGAACTTGAAGGTCTCCACAGGGGATATGAGGCTGATGGATATGGTGAGGGGGAGCAATGTTGGTGGTTGTTTCTGAAAATCCACCGTCACCCGCAGTCTCGAGAATTCTCAGGTCCAGGTTGTTATAACTGCACCAAAGCCCCAGCCATTCAACTTCCCACCGGTGTGCAGACTAATCATTGCCCTGGGTTAGACCAGTGGTCTTGGTGTCATCTGCAAACATCAGGGATTTGACAGCAGTCTGTGGAGATGTCGTTATTGTAGTAGAGGGAAAAGAGCAGTGGAGAGAGGACACACCCCTGAGGTTTGCCGATGCTTGTGGTCTGGCCATCAGAGGTGACCTTCTATCCTCACCTGCTGTCTCCTGTCTGTCAATCAATCAAACTTTATTTATATAGCACTTTTCATGCAAAGCAAGTAACACAGCGTGCTTAACAGATTAAAATGACCCATATAACTCACATTGCCTCCCTTTCCCACACTTAAAACAATTATGCCAGTTTCACCCCCCAATCCACAAACCTTGATTGTAGTTTTGGTAAAAGTTTTTCTCTCTGGTTCTTAGGACCGATGACTAAAACTTCAGTTTTGTCCTGGTTGAGCTGGAGAATGTTTTCTACCATCCAGGATTTAATGTCTAAAATGCAGTTAAAAAGTGCATCCACTGGCAATGTGTCATAAGGAGACACAGAGATTTACAACTGTGTATCATCAGCGTAACTGTGGAAATTCACCCCATGTCTCCTGATGACGCCGCCAAGAGGGAGCATATAGAGGTTGAAAAGCACTGGGCCTAAAACTGAACCCTGGGGCACACCACTTGTGATGCTGTGGACCCCAGAGGAACAGGTATCCAAACTCACCATAAAAGTTCTGTCTGTGGTAGGAAGTGAACCATCTATGTACAGCACCAGAGAGGCCGATCTGTTTTAAGCGGGTCAGGTAGCTGGTGAAGACCCGAGACACACTGTGTTTGGAGAGATTGGAGGAGAGAATGTCTGGATGATGTCGAACTTGAATAGTCGTCAAATACCATAAATCCTCGAATACAGGCCGGTATTCAATTAAAGGCCGGGTCTCCAATTTTGGCCGGTGTCGGAGTCAGCGGAGGTAAATAATGGCCGGTCTCTTATTGTGGCCGGGTGGAATGTGGTAACAAGCAAGTATGAGCATCCCAGCGGCAGGGTTATAGTCTCCAAATCAACCAGCAGGAGGCAGTAAAGGTTCACGCAGACCTTTATTGGGCTTTCTCTTCAACGCTTTGTAACGCTACAGACACGATCCTCTATCACGCTCCTACCACACAGAGTCACGGTGTCAGTTAACCATGCTAATTCAACCCCTCCACAGAACACACATCACCTTCCCTGTGGCTTACATAACACTCACACAACACGCAAATCAGCACATAGGAACTAACAGAACGATAGGAAACACATATAACACAATACCCAGTATGCACCTGGCTTACAACCCCAGCCAGGTCATTACACTATCAAGTTCAAAGAGAACGTGCTAATTATGCTGCAGAACACTCTGGAGAGCAGCAGTAGGGGGTGTATGACCTAGTCAACTTCACTATACAGTAATCCCTCGCTACTTCGCGGTTCGTTCATCGCGGATTCGCTGCTTCGCGGATTTTTTCTTTGGAGCATTTTTCAGGGGGAATTCGCAGATTCGCGGTATTTTTCACTGATTCGCGGTATTTTTCTATGCGAAATATCAAGAAATTCTTGTTTTTTTCATCAATTTCATCATAAAATGCACTTTTTGTAATAAAACAAAAAAAAAGTTAAAAAAAATTTTTCTTGAGTTTTACCCACAAAAAGAGAATGTGATCATACGATAATTCAATAGGGAGCGTGGTTTCACAGACGCGGAAGTGATAGCGTCGGTGAAACGACGGCTGATCTAGGAAACCCCCGAGCGTTCGAGCGTCAACGAAGTGAAACGGAAATGCCGGGCTTTCCAGAAGTAAGTAAGATAACTTACTATGAGCTGATAGTTCGTTGGATTGATCGGTAGGTTGGAAACTCTGATCATGAATCTGAAGAAACGATGACTGAGTGGTGAGCTGAAAAGGCAACTTCCGTTTATAGCCGCGGTTTGTGACGTAGTTGCAACGTGGAGGGAATCCCCGCGAGGGGCATGCTGGGAGTCCCTACTTCGTGGATTTTCACCTAACGCGGCCAGGTCTGGAACGCATCTACCGCGATAAACGAGGGATTACTGTAGTGACTTTTATGCCTGTCGTCGACTAGTCGCTGTCACGTGATAATGACCGGCAAGATGCAGCCCTCGGAAAAGACAGCAGCCTGCTGTCAGCAGGTGACAAGCTCCTGTCACCTGCTGGGGGGGGCACGCGCTGTGCCAGACCGTAGGTGCTGACACGCGATCGTTCATGTCGGTTCATTTCCTTTAATGTTTTCTGTCTTTTATTTGCGCCTGATGTGTATCGCTGCTGTGGAGCGGGGCGCATCAACTTGTCCTCCGACGCACAGATCACTGATGCGGCCGGCAAGCAGGGAGCGCTCTGCTGTTTTCGCGGTCGGTAGATCTGCCTCCTGAGCACGGCCACAGTAACAATCAGGTGTCGCCACCTCAAAAACTAATTTAACACGCGATCGTTCATGTCAGTTCATTTCCTTTAATGTTTTCTGTCTTTTATGTGCGCCTGATGCGTTTCGCTGCATGCTGTGGAGCAGGGCGCTGCGCACATCACCTTGTCCTCCGACGCACTGATCACTGATACGGCCGCCAAACAGCGAGCGCTCCGCTGTTTTTGCGGTCGGTAGATCTTTTAGAACTGCAGTTCAAAGGTAACTCATAAGGTGAATATATATGAACCCAGGTAGCAGTTTTTCTTTAGGATTGAGAGGAGATGCAGGAAGATAATAAACAGACAGGACAGAAAAATAGTCAAATAAAAACAAGTTAGTTTTTGTACCTGCTGTTGCAACAAACAGACACCATTGAAGGTCATCAGAAGTGAGGAACAGAAAATGAAATAATTATTTTAATGTTTAGAGCAGCAGGAACTCCGAGAGGCTGCAGGCGCATCAGTGAGTTTGCGGCAGCTGCGAGGGGGGAGATGGCTGAAGCAGAAACTACCGTTGTTAAAAGAAATGTGTTTAACTTTGAAAATGTGGGCGCAGGTTTAATTGTCAAAAACTCCAGCGAACCATTAGTTCATTTTGCTCAATTAGAAATAGAGGCCTGCCTCTAATACTGGCCGTCCTTCCAATAAAGGCCTGGAGCTTGATGAGCTTGAGTCAAATACAGGCCCGGGCCTGTATTAGAGGATTTACAGTAGCTGAGTTGTAGTGTAATTTTAGCTGTTTTTGCAAAAATGTTAACAATCTGACATATTTTACTGTAATTTATGTATGTTGTTATTATAATGTTAATCTGATCTGGAACTAAAACTCATTTTAGCTTATACATACCAATGACCTTAGTCCTAAATAATATATTAGTTGTGGTCATTTTTGACTGTCTCATTGCACTTTGTGTTGATAAATCACAATAATAACTTGTCACATGCATAGTTTTATTTTTTATGAGCTAAAAGAAAACACTAAAACTTATACCAAAGCTTCTGTATTTTACAGAGCAGTAACATTTTGGCTAAACAATAAAGGCAGTTTGTGGTGGACCTAACTCGTATTATTTCCCAGATAAGCTGGGATGACTAACCCCAAACAAGTCCTACCAACTGGTGAGAGAAGAAATGAGGTGTAAAAATATAGCTTTACAGCCCGAGTACGAGATACTCAATCTCCTAAAGTTGGTAAACAAAGACGACACTGTTTCACCGTAAAATAGGATTATGGATGAAATCCCCTTCACTCCTTCACATCCGTTTGTGTACACGCACGCACACACACACATCTGTTTGTGTACTCGTGCGCGCACGCACACACACACACACACACACACATCTGTTTGTGTATGCACGCGCGCGCGCACACACACACACACACACACACACACACACACACACACACACACACATACATCTGTTTGTGTACGCTCGCGCGCACACACACACACACACACACACACACACACACACACACACAGAGGCCATAACCATGTCAGGAAAATTCTCACAGTCCCCTCATCCTTGTTTTTCCAGATGTCTGGTGTGAAGCGGTTGATGCCACGTCTTCAGGCCATCCTGTTCAAGCTGCAGTTTGAGGAGCAGCTTAACAACATTAAGCCAGATGTTGTGTCTGTAACAGCAGCCTGTGAGGAGCTCAGGAAAAGCGAGAATTTTGCCAAACTGCTGCAGATCATTCTCCTTGTTGGGAACTACATGAACTCTGGCTCCCGTAATGGAATGGCATTCGGTTTTTCCATTTCATACCTGTGCAAGGTGAAGTGTGAATATGTGACCCACAAACAGATGTGCTCATTTTTGTAACCTATCAGACTTGCAGTATCAAAATCACAGATGGACTTTGTGAAGCAGAAAGCTTGTCGATATTTAAATTTCAGTGGGCTGCTTTTTCAGCATGTCATTAAAAACAATCAATACTTTTTCCATTAGCTCCGGGACACCAAATCAGCTGACCTGAAGCAGACGCTGCTTCATTTTCTTGCTGGCGTGTGCCAGGAGCAGTATCCTGATGTCGTGAGCTTTCCTGATGAGCTGATTCACGTGGAAAAGGCCAGCAGAGGTACGCGTGGCATTTAGCTTCGAGTTTGATCTTTGAGGATAGGGTCAAACAATGATTACACGTAAACACAACTTGTCTCACGAGTTTTGCAACTTTGTAAAATCTTCTTGTGTGTTTTTAAAAAAACTATCAAAATAAATAAAGGCAGAAGCTCATCAGCAGTGGTTGCTCCACTGTTTACATATGGAAATGTACAGCAATGTGTTCAAATACATTTATAGTGTCTTTAATTAGCTTATTGTCCTCATGTGCTGACATTTTTCTTGTTCTTGGCAGTTTCTGCAGAGATGATTCAGAAGAATCTGGAATCGATGGGTCGTCAGATCAAGAGCCTGGAGAAAGATCTGGAAACTTTCCCCCCTCCACAAAATGAAAACGACCTCTTTGTGGAAAAGATGTCGATATCCTCTCAGTTCAGCCACTCCGCCAAAGCAAAATGAGCCAAACGGAGAGTTGTAACTAAACAGTGACTTAGTTCTCTAGACAAATGTTTTATTTGCCTTAACATGATATCTTCACAGTTTTGTGAGTCAAGCACAGGAGCAGTATGAGAAGCTGGATTTGATGCATAAGAATATGGAGAAGCAGTACAGCGATCTGGGAGAATATTTTGTGTTTGACCCGAGAAAAATGTCAGTGGAGGAATTCTTCGGAGACCTTAGCAACTTCAAAAACATGTTCCAGGTGTGTGCTGGTGTGTGCAGGAGAACAAGTCAGATGTCAGTTTGTCTATTTAAAGCAAACAAAACAAAGTTCAGCAAAAGAAGCGGATGAAAGACTAGTGGAACAATGAAGGAAAACCTGAGTGTGCACCTGCTGTTTATATACAACAAAGAGAAGCAAATCCAACAATGCTCATTTATTCTGTAAATGTCTGGAGGGTGAAAACATGTTTTACCTGCTACTGCGGGTACCTGCATGACTGTTAAAGTTTTGTTTACACACACTGAAAATATCATTAAAAATATGTGTTACTACCTCTTAAACCTCAAACATGCACTTTTCTATTTTGCAGCAAGCAGTTCAAGAGAATCAAAAGAGGGCAGAGGCTGAGGAGAAGATCAGGATGGCCAAGCTGGCTAGAGAAAAAGCTGAGAAGCAGAAAGAGGACAGAGCAAAAAACAAGCTTCTCGACATCACTGGAGGTCATAATTTATAAATCACATCTTTAATTTTATTTATTGAATTGTTTACCTGTGACTGAAATGGATAAATACACTCCATGTGTCAGTTTGTATTTCTCTCACACTCCAGTTGGGGGCACTCAGAGTCCACAGTTCTCTTTAGTGTGTGTGTGTGTGTGTGTGTGTGTGTGTGTGTGTGTGTGTGTGTGTGTGTGTGTGTGTGTGTGTGTGTGTGTGTGCGCAGAGTGTGCACACAGTATTTTTAGACCAAAGTTAATCTAATGTTGATGACCTGTTTTGAAGTCAGCAGGAAACAACAACTTCACAAAAACTTGTGAAAAGTAGCAAAGAGTCTAAAAACTGCTTCACATCGTTTCACGCCTCTGAGCATTCAGGGGATTTTCTGTCATAAAAAGAACATTTGGGGGAAAGTGCATGCTCTTCATGAGAAGCTGTTTTACTGACCGATGCCCGTGGCGTCTTGTCCCGTGTAACACAAACACATGACCACTCACTCATCCCTCACAAACACACTAATCCTGCCTTGCAGACACAAGTTTGTGCACTCAGACTCTTTCCCCTCTTCCCTCAGACTCTGACCTACTTTTCATGCATTCCTATTTTTTGTGGCTCCACTTGGGCTCTCCAGAGACTCCTTCACGGTCTAATTGTTCGACAGCCATGTGTGCATTCTGCTGTATTTTGTGAACATTTTACAAAAGTGTTTAGCTTTTGTCTTATTGGTCCATCTCCCAGCTGTGAAAAGACACCAAGGCCCTACTTAGGAAGTTCTGTATCTTTTTTTAAAAAAATCTGCAGAATGTGTGTGAGAGTAAAGGGATTAAATGTTATATTCAGCTCTGGTGACACGTTAAAGGAACATGAGAGCTCCTAAGATGACCAGGCATGTGTGTGATACAGGGGTCATTTACAAACAGGTGGCACATTTGACTGCCCCTGCAGCCTGGAGTCATTCAACACCCCTTATTTGAATTCACCCACTCACAAATCAGTCTGGCAAACATACACCTGGTCTTTGTTTTGTATTTGGTTATGACCCTCATCCTGAAATGCTGTTAAACACAAACTTGTTTATCAGCAGCTGCTCCTCTTTGCTCATAAACATCCAACAAGTTCCCTTTTTTTCTGGCCGTGTCCCACCTATCTGCTCCCCATGCCTTTACTATCTCATGAATTTACTGAATGCTGCTCTGACATCCACTCCCAACTGCTGTTGGTTAAACCCTGGAAGGTCAGTGTGTGTTTGTAGTTTGTGGCCTTGTCATTCCCTTGTGAGTCACACACACTTCCCGTGTTTTAAGCATGTGATAATAGCTGGTGTGAGTGGCTGAATGGATATTTCTTCTGGGAATCTTTCAGTTTACTCGTGGCATATTTCACTTATTATGTGCTCTCTGATATTTAGCTGTCATGAAAATAGCTCAGCGGAGCTCGTGTGGAGATCCACGCCCAAAGGTTCAAGTGAGATGTTTTCCTCTAATTAGATCTGACTCCTCTGGACAGCTACTGTGTCTTATGTGTGCAGCTAGGTGTCAGTAGTGTCTGCAAAAGGTTCAGCGTCGCTGTGTGTGTGTGAGGAAGGGTGTGTGCTTGAACAAATTCAGATGCTTGTATGGGAACTGCCACTGGGAGTGCTCGTGCTCCATACATAAAGCTAGTGATGGAGTGGTGTGTGGGGGATGGGGTGGGGTGGGATGGAGGAGACTAGGGCAGCAGATGCTCTGCGGTGGATTAGACTGTGTTGTTGTCGTCTCTTAGAAAATAGGGCAAGACGAGGAGAGGAGAAAAGCACGGAAGTATGATGGGATGAAATGGGATCAGCTCAGTTTGTCTGACGTCAGCTCGCTGGAGGAGAGACACAGCTGTAGCACGTTAGAGGAAAGGGTTTTTATGTTTGCTTTTTCACCATCCATAACACTTTGTGAACCACCACTAGAGGTGCTGTTGGTCCATGGGAGATGTCTTCTGTGTTTGTGCTCCTCGGTGATGCACCTGGTGTGTGTGTGTGTTGTAAATATAATCCAATAAGACTACTTTTAAAGCTTCCCATCTAAAACTGTTGCACTGAATAGTCCATCTGGGCGTCTTAGTTGCTTCATGCACTCCTTTACTGAACTCAGTGAGCAGTGTGCTGCTCGTTCAGGTGTGAACTTTGCTTATTTTCTGGATAGTTGAAGCACTTAAGTTGTTTACCTTAGTCCAGTTTAGTCTGACAAAGTTTTACTAAACATGTATAATATTTTACACCCATCAAGTAGTGCATGATCAGCCATAGATGAATTTAAGGAGTTGATTTTTTTTTTTACAATATGCAGCAAATGAAATGATGTAGATCTCACTCACATTTATGACGACCCGTTTTAACAGAGTTGCTGTCAGCCACAGCGAGGGAAGCAAACACAAACACTAGAGCTTTATTCAGAACTTTACCGACAAGCAGCCCAAAGACTTTTCATTTTTACTTTGGTGTTCACCCAGACTGTAAAGTGTGTTTACTAGACAGCTAGGTCCTTGATTGGTGCCCTTGCACTTGCCCAGAGCATTCACACAATTAGGTTTGTGTGTTTATTTGCTTCTGTCTGGCAACAAGGTTACACGTTTTTCTCAGAGGACATCATGGGAGCGCCATAAAAACGTTTTGACATGTGTGACTGTGGACCAGAGTCTTGTTTGAGGATCCTTGGTCTCATTAGACTTTTGGGACTTTTGAGGCTGTTTATGGATTCATGCCAGATGTGTTTCCTCAGAAGAAGATAACTGCAGCTTATCATGACTCTTATGTGTATGTGTGTGTAGTTCCTGTTTATGGACGCTGAGTGGTGTGTATGAGCTGTAGATGGAAGGTGGGAGGGAGATTTTCTCAGACATGACAGGCGAGACCACAAGCCATCTGCTGCATGGCTTACTGCAGGATTATAGTGTGTGTGTGTGTGTGTGTGTGTGTGTGTGTGTGTGTGTGTGTGTGTGTGTGTGTGTGTGTGTGTGTGTGTGTGTGTGTGTGTGTGTGTGTGTGTGTGTGTGTGTGTGTGTGTGTGTGTGTGTGTGTGTGTGTGTGTGTGTGTGTGTGTGTGTGTGTGTGTGTGTGTGTGTGTGTGTGTGTGTGTGTGTGTGTGTGTGTGTGTGTGTGTGTGTGTGTGTGTGCGTGCGTGCGTGTGTGTGTGTGTGTGTGTGTGCGTGCGTGCGTGCGTGCGTGTGTGTGCGCGCGTGCATGCGTGTGAGCAGGACATGTGCTTTGTGTCTGGGGGTTGGGAAGGTGACGATGTAAACCTTTAACCCTCTGCTCTACTGCCCCCCTTTCCAGACCTTCTCTACTCAATTCAGCTTCAAATAGAAATAATTGAGACCATCTGCTTGATGGCTGAGCTGTGCCACTGAATGATGCCCACTAACACGCACACACACGTCCAGAGTGTTGGCACTCCACGTGGCTTGAACAGTGTTTCCTGTCTCAGACACTGAAGTTTAGCAGACTATCTGGATGCAATCAAAGGCGAGCTAAAACACCCGTTCCAACAAACATCCAGTAACTCCAGCTTCACGTCCAGTCAGCGCCTGTTTGAAAAAGAGCCACATTCACATGTTCATTTTGTAGTGTTTTTGTGGATTTGGCTTTAGTGAGTGCATCTTTTCAATAGAGGTGTGTGTGTGCGCGCGTGTGTGTGTGCGCGTGTGTGCGTGCCAAAACTGCCTGTAGAGCAGTGATGTAGCTTAACCGGCTCACAGCTTATCTAGGTTAATGTAACTCATTTAAAAAGTGACCGTGTGTGAATGTCCCCGTGTCCTGTGGCAGGATTTTTTGTAAATAATTCCCGATCACTGGAGGAAACGACTGTTTGTTCTTAAAATAGACTTTCAAGTCTGACTCGGCATAATGATATAATTCTGTGCTTTGTTTCTGCATCCCTAACCTTAGGTTTTGATCTTTATTACAGACGATGAAACTGGCATCATGGACGGCCTGCTGGAGGCACTGCAGTCGGGCGCTGCTTTCAGAAGAAAGAGAGGACCTCGGCAAGCAGGTACTTAAACCCAAACTCATCCATAAATCTCATAAAAGACAGAGGAGGTCAAGTTTTCTGTCTCGCTTTTGAGTTACAGCTTTCAGTTTCTTCTCACACAGATGTTCTCACTATACACACACACACACTTGTGTTCTCCTTCTGTCTTGTTTGCTCCGTGTCGATACACAACAACACATTTGTTGATGTTTTCCATGGCTGCTGCACGTCTGAGAGGCTGAGAGCTGCGGGGCTATTCTGGGTTATAGTTACAGGGAGCAAAGCCAGTGCCACCGAGGGCTGGCACAACAACAGACGAGAGGACAGGGTGCCATGAGTGGGTGTGGACGGTAACAGCAGCTGATCAGGGTGTGGTCGTGGAATAGGAAAAATAAGAATTTCAGAAGGGTGAACCAGAGTGTGGGCAGAAACATTAAAAAAGGCAGATTAATGTGAAAGGAATGCACAAAACATGCCATAAAGGGCTAAATTATGAGACAGACGTGTGTCTTTAAGCTTCCCACATAAAATGATGTTTTATGAACTGTTTTTAGGGTTCATTTCACTTTCACTGAAGTGTGTTTACCACAGGATCCATTTACATCAGTCTACTGAAGACAGCAGAACCTTTTTTATTACATTTTTTCCTTTTTCAAAGCTTTTAAACCCGTCCAGAATAAATCTTTAAAAGTTTTTATACATAAATAGCCCATTGTTATTTTTAGGAAAAGACACATTTTTGTTTGGTATGTTACTTCATAAACTTTCAGAGTTTGGTTAGATTTGTTAGATTTCTTATTTTTGTTTTGTGTGACATAAAAACACGTCTTTGTGTTGTCCGGAAGTCTAGGGTTGCTCCTCTCTGTCCATCCCACATTCAGATCCTCCTTTTATTTACTCTTTTAGAGACTTTTCTCCCTGCTTTCCTCCTCTGTGTCTGTAATCCTGTACTTGTAGCACTTATTGTAACAGGTTTTGGCCTCCCGAGCAGACCAAGCAGCTCAAACTAACAGTCGGGACATTTACTATGTAACATGACTCCTGGTTTTAGGCAGCTTGTGTGTGCTAGTATGAAACTGTCCAGTTCACATTTATTGTGAGAAATCGAGTAAGCGAGACCCTGTTTGTGTGTATTCACATGCACATATGTGTGTGTTCTGAATTTGCACATAAGAAAAGTTGTGGAGGAGTGTGTGCAACCCTATCCCTCCTTCAATGGAAGCCAGATGTGAAGCGTGGCTCCAGAGTGGAATAACTGGAAACCAGAGGGTGGACTGCATCTTTTGTTTCTTTTGATCATCTCCTTTGGTCTTTCTCTCCTTTGTTTTTGTTTTTTTTTCCGATCCTTTGTGTCATCGTGTGACTGCAGTAACTCTGATTCAGTGGTCCTCTGTTAACCTCTTAATCTCACCTAACAGTGCAGAAAGTTAAAGAGCCCAACTGCTGCTAAACTGACTAGGACAACAGTAAAAGAAGGGGGCCCAGTCTTTGGCTCAGCCAGTCATCCATACCTCAGCTTGGCCACCTCACTCTCCTAACCGGAAATACCTGATCAGAAATGTGGGAGAAACAGGCAGTTTGAGCTTTCCTCGCTCCACATACCAGCCTGTGGTAGGAAGGAGGTGGAAAATCTGAGTGGCTGTATCAAATCCCCACTAAACGCCTCCTCCCTGACTCTTACCCCACTGTGGATTTCCGTCTTCATTTGGCCAAAGGTCAGGGTTTTCCTCAGAGATGGTGGATAGTGTGAAGCCATGCAGCAGTTTTTGTGCAGTCTTTGTGAGGAGGTTGTGTGTTGGTCATCCGTGTTTAAAGACTTCTTTTGTTTTCTTTCTGCAGCCAGGCAGAGCCTAAAGTCTCTCAGCCGCACAACAAGACTGGGTCTTGTTTTTTTCCTCGTGTGTGTGTGTGTGTGTGTGTGTGTGTGTGTGTGTGTGTGTGTGTGTGTGTGTGTGTGTGTTTGAGTCAGAGGTCTTAATTTAGTGGAGCTGAAGCAGGACTTTGGCGTAAGGCAGCTGTAGAATAAAACATGCATGTAACCAGAGTGTGTGTGAGAACAGTGGGGTTATACAGGACTTTATATGTGCAGAGTTTGTCCCAGATCTGTTCAGGAAAGTTGCTCAAACTCATCCTGGATACTACAGAGAAGGGTTTTATGCGGTTGGGACATCTGAGGCTCATGAAGCAATGGTTTTGATTGTGACATGTAACAGATCTCTGTCCCTGGGACCAGCTGATCCCATTCTTATTACTTTTCCTTGCAGTTACATTGTTATCCATTTAAAACCATTATGTGCGGCATAATCACTGATCAGATGTTCCAATAATAATAAGTCAAACACTAGACGAATATTAATTTGCTTTTATGATTTATGAGTGAGAAGGGAAGCAGAGTTTCACCTCCCTGGTACTCCAGTTTAATTAAAACAACTGTTAAACAGTTTGAAACGAAATTAAGGCATGGTTTGTTAGTCTAATTAGTTTTTTTATTTCAGTCTATTAAGATTGTATTTATGAATGAAAATTAAGATTCCTATTCTTGCAGTTAGTATTATAAAAATGTGACAAACAGAAAACTCATATAAAATGTTTTATCTTCATTTCATTACTCTACTTTTACCATCCTTTTGATATTAATTCATTTCATTTTCAGAAGCTAAACAGTGAACCATGTTGCACTTTTTATCAGTGTAGCTCTACTGTCCTCTTTGCTGCTGTGGCCCCCAGACTGGACCTCTCTCCCCCTGAGCCTGAGATCAGTGGACTCAGTGGTCTCCTTTAAAAAGCAGCTGAAGACTCACTTGTTCAAGCTGGCTTTTGTATGACCTTCTTCACACTCTCTCTTTATTCTGCTCTCCCCGCCTATTCCACCTTCCTCAGGATCCACTGATTTCCCTTTTTCCTATTCACTCTCTCTCTTTCTTAACTTTTTTCTTTTAAATCGCAATTGCTTATTTTTGCTCATTTTAAATATATTTTTAAACATTTTCTAAATGCTTTTTTAAATTTTTACATTTTTTTAATTTTTTGTTTTTGTGAAGCGCCTCGTGATTTTTATCTTGAGAGGCGCTATAGAAATGATCTTTTCTTCTTCTTCTTTCTACTGAACTCAGCTCTGTTTGTTTGTCTGGTCATTTATACCCAGTAGCTATAGACTAAAGCTCTAGCATCACATATGAGCAGTTCCTGTGCTCAAAAAGCTTCAATAAGCAGCCATTTGGGTAACGACAGATTATCTGAAGTTCGGTCTGGATGTTCCTGAGCATCACATACAGTTATTCAACCCCTGCTTTGTTACCTTGCAGACATAAAGGATCAGTTCCCATCACTCTGAATGAGATCACTTCAGAGATTCTGGAAAGTTTTAGAACAATAACAGCTTTGGATAGAGAAAAGGTCTCATTTTTAACCATCAGTACATGAAACAGACATTATTCCAACAGAAGGCTTGGTGTTTCTCAATGTCTAGGCGCCTGGCCTTGTGAGGACACTGTCCTTCCTTGGTCAAAGAAAACGGTTAAATGGAACAGACTTGCATCACGTGACCATGGCTTCCACGGCGGTAGCGTAATGTCACGTGACACGTGAGATAACATTATATTTTATACATATTAGTTTCAATATAAATATATAACGAGCCTTTAACTTTTTTTAATTGTGCATATGTTTATTAAATTAAAAATATAAGTGAGTTACTACTCGCTAGCCACCGAAGCTGCAACTACTAAACAACTAACCAACAATGGATAACTTCTTTGGATCTAAAAAAAACATCTTAAATTAGCTGACTTACTTTAAACTTGAAAATTGTCCCCAAGTAGTTGCCAGCTTTTGATCCACCGTCCTTTTGAAAATACCACAGTGTATTCTGGGTAATTTTTGACCAAGGCTAGGCTACAAGACACTTCCCATGTATCCTCGCTCAGCTAGCTAAACAGCTAACAAACGGAGAACACGCCTCGGTAGAACATGAACATTGGAACACGTCTTGGCGGCTCCTGATGACGTATCTCCTAGACAACTGGGGCGAGGCCAAGACATCAAGGCAAGGTTCCTTGGCATTGAGAAACAGCCCAGGTTTCACGCCAGCCCGCTCAGAGCAGAGGATTGTGGGTATCCGGCCGGATGAAGAAAGAAGGCTAGAAAATGTGTGAAAATTAAAGTAAAGTAACATTAGTGAGCAGCAAATGCTAGTTTATGTGATGGGTAATGTTTGTGAAAGTGCAGACTGTAACTTTAGAGTTTGAATCAACATTTAGAACAAAATAAATTACAATATGATGCTTTCTCAAAGTGTGCATTTTACTTTATAGACCAAGTGTCGTCTACTTTATAAATGTGTTGTTGTCAGTACTGTTACTACAAAGATGTGTATTGCTATTGTGTATTTAATTACTTGTGTTATATAAAAGACACCCCCACTCACAGCTGCCGTGATGGCAAACGGCACCACTCTACTCAAAGACCTGTTGAGTGTGTCGTCATGCTTGTTGGCTCAGTATTGAGACTGAATAGCTTGCCACGAGGCTATAGAGGCCTTCCACCCCCTGACCTTTGACCTGTACCTCAGCTCGCTCTGTGTGTCTGGTTGTTTTATAGAAGGGTCGGGGGGGGGGGGGGGGGGGGGGGGATCTGCAGCTGTCTGCCCTCAGTCTAACACCACCCCCTAAAACACACACACGCCAGATGCTTGCATGCCAGTACAAAGACACACATGGATGTTTGCATGCAAATAGATGGAAATGGACACATTCCATTTTTGGGGACACGCAGACATTCAGTCCAACGACATGGGCTTCACGCCGTTAACTCCAAACATGTTTACAGGCTCATCAGCCAGGCAGAATCAGCTTCTTCAAAGTTTAGGTGGAGGAATGATGTGTCTGAACTTTCTCTGTAGACCCATCTGCTGGTTCATGACCCTCGCAGCAACAGCCAATCACACAGCAGTGTGTTACAACAGAGACGGAGATAAAGAGCATGGCAACAAAAGAGACACACGCTGGCTCTGCAGACAATCTGCTCTAAGAAACACCCACTGCTCTGAAGGCACGCCGTCACAGATGTTCACAAACACAACAAATGATCAGTTCAGCAGCAGAGAACGTATTGATCTGTGATGATGTCACACATGCCATCGGACACAGTAGAGTCCGACCCCACACATCTATAAGTAATCAATACTTCTAGATCCATACTTTCCCATCAGGCATCAGCCAGTGGTGGATGATGTCACAGTTTCCCACAATCCTCTAATGTAGAGCAGCAGTGTGTTACCTGCTGCAGCCTGAAGAGGGCGATATAAGTCCCTAAGTTAAAGCACAGGGCCAGCCTTCATGACCCTTTTTCCATCATGTTGCTGTGAGACTAACAGGTTCTGTAGAGTTTACCACATTACCACATCTCCTTCTTATTGGGGGAGGGGTGAAAAAAAGATCTGATAAAGATCTACTTCAGCAAAGTCACCAACCAACCGTCCACACAAGGGGAGCGTCGCATATCGTACAACAAAGCGTTCCTGTGCTCATCGGGTTGTGATTATTTAGTCTCCTGCTGTGTAATGTGTTACAGATGATCTTCTCACCACGTTCTCTGTGCCACTCATCACCCTGCAGTGTGCAAACCCCTCGTTCATCAGGAGAATAAGTCGTTGCTGTCGGCCTCAATAACTCATACCAAATACACGAATCGTGTATTCCCATCAGAGCGTTGACTGTGCTCATGCTGGTGTGTTCCTCATTGTGAGGCCACAGGCTGCTGCTGCTGTTTCTGTGCATCTCCACAAACCTACAGGCTCTCTGGAGATGCACAGAAAAATAAATGAAACAGCTGAGGCTGAGATATTCACACTTTTCACTTCCAAGTGTGGGACCAGATCCAAATGGCTGGGTGTTAAATTTCACCAGCAGCTTTATCCTTTCAGCTTCTTTCAGTTACTAAATAGCTTCAACAGTTCATTTGGCGAGCTTTGGGTTACAGATTGTGTCAGACCAAACTGCTCTTGTAGAATCAGCTGTGTGACTTTTAGGTGATTACCTTTTAAATCTAACTAATCAAGATTATACTGAAGTCCCTTACGTCTGAAATCTTTAAGCCAGTAAATGTCTAAATCTACTTAGTTGCTGCTTAATGGCAGCACAATGTTGCTTCTTTAAAAAAAAACATTTCTTGATCTTAAATGCTGATAAGTCATTATGGCAGATTTCTGTAGACCTGTTCTCTGAAGCAATCATGAGCTAAAAGTAAAGGTTTGCTAAACATAATGTGAGTTTTAGTGTTTTTAAGGATCAACCACTGTAACTCTTTTCTTCATGATACCCTTTTCACCTTAGTACATTTACAATTT